CCGAGTTTGCAAACTCAACCTCTTGATTTTGGACTTGCTTCTGGGGGCGGTGGGAGGGTCGGGTGGGGGGATGATGACGACAGTGTTACGCAAACACAACCAACAATATCACCACTAGAGCCGTTTTTCTCGTTATTTACAGTACTTTCGTGATGTCGCACTTCTTATATAGTTGCCACCCCTACTTCTGGACTGTGCGTCTTAAACTTTGGTGTCTCGAACAGCTTGCAGCGAAAACTCTAAATTGAGTGGGGGGAAAGCTTTTCCTCGGTATTTACAGTACTTTCGCACACAACCCCGCTTTTTCTCGGTATTTACAGTACTTTTGGGGATGTTGGTGATGAACGATGATGAAATGTGTTTGATTTTCGTGATGTTGATGATGAGATGTGTTTGCTTGTTGGTGATGAAATGTGTTTGCTTTTTCGTGATGTTGGTGGTGATGATGTTGATGACAATGACGAAGTGTAGTTGGTAGGGGGGGTGGGTGGTTAGTAGTAGTAGTAGTAGTAGTAGTAGTAGTAGTAGTAGTCGTGGCGGTGGCGGTGGTTGGTGGTTGGTGGTGGAAGTAGTAGTTGCAGCAGCAGCAGCAGCAGCAGCAGCAGCAGCAACAGTAGGAGTAGCAGTGGCAGTAGCCGGACAGCATGCTGCTGCTGCTGCTGCTGGTGGTGGTGGTGGTGTTGTTGTTGTTGCTGTTGTTGCTGTTGTTGCCCTTGTTAAAAATCCCTTAGCCCTGACCTCAGAACCCCTGGGCCCCTAAACCTGCAAACCTAAACTCCCCGAAGTGCCGCGTCGTACCAGGACCCTCGCCCGGGCATGTCCGAGTGTGAGTGCTGAAACTCCCCAATCTCCGAGGTTTGTCGGCCCTGCGCTGCGGGCACCTTCAGCCCGGCACCGGGGGCCTTCTCAGAGGAGACTTGCGCCACGCCCCTCGGCTGGAGCTCGGTTTAGGGTGTACGGCCAGGGCTTAGGTTTCGAATGTGATCTTTGGATATGAGGTCTAATATGAGTATCAGATCCGTAGGAATAGCGGCGCTACAGCTGATGCTACTGGTTTGAAACAGTTTAAGCATGGTCGCGATATTGTAAGAATCAAAAGCAGCAATAGCAGTCGGAGACAGGGGAAGCTTGCCGGGGCCTTTGAATTTGCCCTGGCCGTGGCTCTCTGCAGTCTGGAGTCTGGAGTGGCGGGAAGGGCAGCACGACTGGGGTAGTCGGATGGATGTTGGATCCTCAGCCGTAAGCTCGCCTGGCTCGTCCTTTGCCGGCCTGGCGTTCGGACTCCAGGGCTCTCTGGAGGAAAGGAAAGAGGCGATAACAAGCAAGAAACCCGAAGCCCGAAACTCCGAAGCGAAGCTTTCCAGACCTCATGCAATCGGAAAAGGGACGTCTAAAAAAGGCAAAATGGGAGCTTCCGAGAATTAGGGGTACCTTATTTTGGGGTCCTTATAATAAGGATCCTATTATTTGGGGTACTATATTAGGGTCCCCTATTTTCGGCAACCCTAAACCCTAAACCCTAAAGAAACCCCCAAATCGTCAAAGGTGTCCATCCGGCACCTTCAGCGCCACTCTGGGCGCCACCTCCTCCGCCACTTGCACCGGCTGCCCGCCCGGCACCTTCAGCAGTGAGGAAGGCCGGGATCTCAGTTCTCCGCCCGGGGTATGTACACATACCTACTTGCCTACATACATACATACATACATACATACATACATACATACATACATACACATGTATCTATATATGTTTATGTACTTTATAAATTTGTATATATATATATATATAATTATGCACACGTATGTATATATTTTCTCTTAAGGTAGCGTAGTATAAAAGACATATAGCTATGACTGTACTTCTAGCGGTATGGCTGCCTGTGGCAGGGGCGTCTTCCTCTCAGACCTGTATGAAATGCGGCCCGGGCACCTACCAGCCCATCGTCTCTGTGCCGGGCTCAGGCAGTGATGTGAGATTCCAACGTGCCACGGAGCTGACTCCTCCCGAAACCCAAAATTCCAAAATCAACCCCAAAGCCGTTTCGGGTTTCGAGTCCAGGGTCCTCAAACCTGAGAAAAAAAGCTCAGTGTTGAAGCTGAGGGTGGCTCGGACATGATCTAAGCGAAGCAATGCGCACGACGCCTTAGGAAGTTGACTGGCAAACACCACCCCCCATCCATGAAGGCTTCAGAGGGATAGTTCGTGAAAGTATCCTCTTAATTTAAATGGTCCCAATTAGATTTATCGTACTCGGGCCCCCAGAGCCTATTCTAAGTCTTAAGGTCCCTACAAGACTCCTCAGGCCGCCTCCAGCTCACTGTGCATCAAGTGTGCCGTGGGCAACTTCTCCTCGGCATGGGGAGAGTCGACTTGCCACTTCTGTGCCAAAGGCGCGGATCGGAGTTGACTAGCTTCGGAGTCGCCCAGACGAAGAATATGGAAAAAGTTGAGGGTGTAAGGACGGGTGAGGGCATTCGGTCGATGTTGCCGGCTACTGAAGCAGCCGACAGCGGCATATAGAGAACAAAGGCATGCGGTGTTTGTTAACAACCGTGCGCATCTCTTCGACGGGGACGTCAGGCTAAAGGACAAGAAGACCTTCGGAGCATGCGTGCTATGTTAGTTGATCTTTCAACCTGCGAAGATTTCTCCTGTCAACTGTTCCTGTCAAATCCTGCGAAGATTTATCCTGTCGAATGTGGGCGTCTCAAGAGAAAGTGAAAGCGAGGCCAGATGTCAAGAGCAGCTGCGCTGTGGAGACGATGCCAAAGCACACATGCAGCACATGCACATGTGCGACATGTACGGATGCAGAGCACGTCTAAATCCTCATCCCTGCACAGGGTCCTATGGCAACGCCTTCGGCCTCACGGAGTGCTTGGACTGCCCCACCGGGTCCACAACCACGATTCTGGGTGCAATTCGAGAAGGCACTGCGGCTTCTGCTTGTCAGGTCTCTGGGTTTGGCTTCAACTCAAGTGCAGAGACGGAGGGCTGTTGCGTTCAGTTGCATCTGGAAGGCTCGAAAGTCGTGTAAAGAGTCTTGCAGGCAGCTCCTTTCAGGCCAGGTGCTTGTCCTCATTCACCTGAAGGTTTGCACCCAAGAATCCTAAGCCCTGAACCTCACGATTTCAAATCCCCCCCCCTTAGACCTAGCTGCTCAAGTTCAGCTTTTCCTAGAACACCTTAGGTTTAGGGATGCTTAGGGCTAATATAGGCTGTAGGTTTAGGATTTAGAGGTGACGGGCTTAGGGTTTAGGTTTAGGGCTTAGGCTTTGGGGAGCACCAAGCCTATTTTCCCGCGCTCTGGTTGCCGCAGGCATGTGCATCAAGTCGTCGATCCTTGATCCGACGCCTGGCAGCACGAGAACATACTGATCCATAGGCGCTCTTTCGGGTTCTATAAGAGCTAATTAAGTTAGTTGTAGGGCTTTATAATTGGAGAGCGGTGTTAACACAAGGTTGGTTGCACCGTGTCGCGGTATTTCCGCTTGCATTTTTTTGCTTGCTTACACGGCATACCTGCATGTGAGACATCCAGCTCAGTGCCTGTGTGCAGGGCCCCCAGTGACGGTTCTGAAGATGCCGACGGCGAGACAGAGGATGAGGGCCACGTCCCGGTGCTCCTTCCTTGATTCTGGCGTTCCCAGAGCCTAGAGCCTAGATCAGCTTTAGAATCGAAAGCCACTGCACAAGTTGGGAATCAACTGGAGCTGGCGTGGTCCGGGGAGCGTTGCTAAGTGCATTCAAAAGCCAGCTGAGCAGGAGTACCTGTGTCCAGTCTAGAAGGCAATAGTTCATATGTTGATAAGCAGTGAAGAGCGAGAGGCATTGCGCATACAAGCAGTGTGTGTAGTGGTTAAGCAGTGCGTATAAGTAGTGGCTAAGACGGTTATGTCTCGACCATGTATGTGTATGTATGCATGTATATCTGGAGTCGCATAAAAATCAAACTATACATACAAATATGTATGCATGAGTATACGAATATGTATGTGTATACATTATCTGCATTTGCACATGCAATTATGCACACACATACACACATGCATACACACATACAGTATACAAAAGATACACACATACACATATAGACTTCCATGTGTTATCTGCACCGATCATGACTGTACATAAAGTGCAGGATACACTTTCATCGACACTCTAGTCAATGCTGGAAAATCTTGTCAATGCTGGGATGGTCATACGACTCTATATAATAATATACTTGTACACAAACTCAGAAACAAATCATCGAAAGTGTTCGTCTTGTAAGATTATTGGAAGCACGAGGTTAGCAACCGAGCCGTGCTTGGTTTCAACAAGATTGCCGCACATGCATCAGCCCCCATGTGTGACTATGAATAGGTTTGCCCTGGATTTGCTATGGCTGCTCCACATCGCCCTTTGCCTAAGTCACTAGGAACTCAGTACGAGCATTCGTCTTGGCAGTCTTTACACCTCGTTGCTCAAGTGCTCGGCGGCGTGAATTCAAGGTCCCAGGCAAGGAAACCTTGACCAGGGCCGAAAGCTCCTGACCTTCGGAGACAACTTCGGGGGTCTCGGATCATTTCATTTATGCAGCCCTCTCGGGTCGGTTCTCCGGGAGGACCCCCGGGACCTTCGAGGAAGCCGACGCCTCTGAGGGAATTTGGTAGTTCTTTTGAGGTTTCCGGTCTCCCGTCTCGGCTCATGAGGCCGTGGAGGCCTTTGCACCTTTTTGGGATATGGGAGGGCACGGACCGTAAACCTGTCGGGAGGTCAGAACTTTGGTTGAGATACTTCTTTGGACCACGCAACGCGCCTATCCTCACTAGGGGCTGGGCTTTTGTGTTTCTGGGATTGTGACAAAGCGTGGATAACAAAAAGTTTGAGCCCATGCTGCCTTCGACTTTGTCGGCATCGTCGTGCGTGATCACTTTCTTCGTTTGGGTCCTTGACATTCAGTAATGATCAGTAGTGGTTTGCATGGGCATTTCAAGCATTAGATGGGTCAGTCCAGATGAACAAGATATCCTCGCAGATCATTGCTGGTGCGACTGCCCACCCGATATCTTAGAAGGCTTAGTAGCGGAACCTTTGCGAAGCGACGAAGGCCGCCAGAAAAGCATAGCTCAAAGGTTATTTCTTGAGTTGCGAATGAATAGCTGATTTGCTTGCTGCCTCGTCGCAACCAGACCATGAAAATTTGGCTTGGTCGGCAGGCATCCCACGTGTTTATATCCCCTAAACCCTAAACCCTTATTTGAATAATATAAATCCTGCAGTGCGGCCCTCGGATCCCCTGGACCCCCTCCCTAGGATTTATATCATTACGGAACCGCTGCTTCAGAAAATTTGGTGCTATCGAACCGCTGCGTTTTCCCAACCTGACTACAGCGGTTCGGTAGCACCAAATTTTCCGAAGGGTTTCCTTTAAGCATTTGGTGCTATCGAAGGGCGGAGAGGAGGGGCAGGGCATCCACTACTATTTACATGAAGGTGATGGGCAAATTTAGTGCTACGGAACCGCTGTCTTCAGATTTGGACCACGCAGCGGTTCGATAGCACCAAATTTGCTCAAGGGCTTCCTTCAAACTTGGTGCCTTCGCACCACTACGTTTTCCGGAAAGAACCGACAGAATTGGGTCTGACCCCCTCTATTATCAGTTCGCATGGGTATTATCAAGAAGGCAAATATGATATGAGGCAACTAAAGTTCCGGGAACAGCTCGCCGGCAAAATTTGGTCCAATCTTCTCTGCTGTCATTTCCTAGTGGTAACTAATGAAATTATAGTAGAGAGGATTGGACCAAATTTTGTCGGCGAGCTGTTTCCAGGAACTTTGGTTGCGTTTTTTTTCTGTTTCTTTCTATTTCCTATGGAAAATAATAACAGCGAGGATAAGACCAAATTTTACCGGATCGTTCGCGCGCGCGCAAGGGGCCTGGGTGGGCGGGTATGTGGGGCCCCGCTAATTATTTAGATTAGTTAAATTAAATATGGGCGGAGGGGTTGGGTCGGGGGATGGGACCCAGCATATAAATAATTCAAAGCCGCGGCCCAACTTAATATTCCAATTATTTAAACTCGGGCCGGGAGGTCCTCGGACCCTCCCGCTAATATTTGAATGATTTAAGTGGAGTCGGGAATTAAATTATTTGAATAGTTTAAGTAATTTAAATTTTTGAATATTATGGGGGTGGTTGGGTCGAGAGATGAGACCCGGAATCAAATCCGGGGCCCCGCCCAATATTTAATTCATTTAATTCGGACCGGGGGGTGCGCGATCTCGCGCTGAAAGGGAAGTTTTTCAAAATAGAATCGGGAATCATTTAGCTTTATTAAATATTGGTGGGATGAGGGATAAGGGCCGGGAATTTAAATAATTTTTTTTATTTAGATCCGGGATCCCATTATTGTTTGAGTTATTTTGTTCGGTTAGGGGGATCTTAGATTTCGGCCCCCCTCCCCGAGGTTTAAATTATTTAAATTTTATATTTAGATCAGGAATTTAATAATTGAAATAATTTATATTTAGAGTTTCTTCTTATGTTTCAATTAATACATGAGGAATTGAATCTATTTTGGACTTGGTTATTGGATTCTTTTTTAATTCATATATTGAATTTATTTAGCTGATATTGGAAGACTTTTTCTCGCTGCTTCCTACTAATACGAACACTGCACGCGCTCGTCTTTCTAAGTAGTAAGTCATGTAGGATTTTTCTATAAGCAACTTGAATAATTTAGATTAAGACTTTATTTGATCACGATAGTTATATAAAAATCGGTATTTACGGAAATTCTATTCATGGGAGATATGATAATTTTTATGAAATATGATAATGATAATATTATATTTTCTATTATTTAAAAATTCTCATTCTCATATATAAATTGAATATCATAGAAAAAGATGCGGAATATCTTCGATTTTTTTTTGGATTAGAAGGATATAAAATAAATATATATCAATTTAAATAGATTTCTGTTTTAGCTAATTGAGGAGATAGAGATTATATTATGAATTGGATTATAAGGATTTATAGAATTTTATTATTCTCTTAGATAGGATATGGCTTTAATTAGAAATATTCGAAAAATCTAGATAATTATATTTATATTGATTTAGAGATTTACGATTATCGATTTTTGATAATTAATTAAAAAATATTATAGGATCTATCGTCTCTAATAAGATCTGAATATATATTTGAATTAATTAGAAAAAATAAAAAAATCTTAAATATATCTAATATTGAATTCTTTGATTCTTTGATAATTATCTTTACGAATATATATATATATAATTAGGCATTTGGCGTTGCCGCTCCCACGGGGTGTGGGGGGGGCTGGCGTGTGCGGAGTGGGGTCGGGGCGGTTGTATGGTTAGGCGTCATAGGGAGGGCCGGGTCAAGCCGGGATCTTATATAAGTCCTAAATACAAACCATAAATCCTTTATAATAGGAATTCTATATCCGCTTAAATATAGGCTCTAAGCTTGAAGCAAACCATAAACCGTCCCCTTATTCATTTTATATCCCAAACCTTTCCTAACCTCTTGTCGATTCGCAACCGTATAAAATTTAGCTTTCGACCCTAAACCCCAAGCTCGAAAGCTTGAGCTAAACCCTAAATCCCAAAATCTCCCAATCATTCCATAGGGGGAAGAGGGATCTCTCAGCCCTGCCCCAGTGGGGAGGGGGGGGGTTCTAGGACCATATATTATGGGGGGGGGAGGGGGGGGGAGTCGCGGAGCACCTAACCATAAATAGTCCCGCCGGCTCCCATTTTTTCTATTATTTATCGATATCGGAGTGGAGACTTGCCCCAAAAATCTCTGCCCGATAAATCCTATATATAAATAGATAGTGCTAGCAATAATTTGAATCGTGCTATATAATATCGTGGCCGATTCAATTTAATTCGATTCGATTCAAGTTGAAGCGGTCCTCGGATTGAAAATTAAAGATCCCTGGGAAATTTCTTCGAGAAATTTCAATCTTTAATCTAGACCTTGATTCAACTTCAATCGGATCGATTCAATCTGAATCGGGACGACCCTATTTCAAAAACATTCATTCAAATATTCCTCCCGCAGAATCTATTCGATCACGCCCCTTATATAGCTTCCTATAATAATCATTTCGATTATTTATATATAATTCATCTAAATAATTTATATTCAATATATCATATATAATATCATATGGAATAGACTATATCCCATTCCTTATAGGATATCTTTTAGAATTCCTCCTTTACAAATCTTAAATGATTTTATAGAAATAACCATAAATCTGAAAAACCGTAAATCTGAAATACCCTAATGCCTTCTTCAATATGCTATGATCTATAGAATCCTATAGAATATCTTATTATTTATTTGAAGAATATTCCATATATCTATATTATTGAATACCTTAGATAATAATTAATGGAATACCCTATAGAATACCATATCAAATTCCCCATAAAATATATTATAGAATATATAAACTACCCTGGATATACCATACAATATAGATGACCATCCGGAATATTCTATGGAATATTTTTTAAATTCTTTCTACAATTGAGACCTTCTGACATAAACTTATTTGACACCCTATAGAAAACCTCATTGATACAGGATACATATAAGGACGGTCAGGA